AAAAAAAAAAAAAAAAAAAAAATACCTTTTTAATGAAAATCCTGCATCAAAAATCATCCCTTAGGTAATGGTTGGTTCCCGAGGAACAATTGTCTCAATGTGGATTTAGCTGCTTTTTTGAAACACTTAAAAGGGGGGTGGGGCGGGGAGAATAAAGAAAACAAGTAAATAATAAGAATAGAAATAGGAGGCCTAAATGGTGGGAATTTTCTTAAATTAATTGAAATATTAAAGAAGCCTGTTGTGTGTGAGATCCTAATCAGCTTCTCAAATATCTTTTGTTTTTTTTTTTTTTATTTTGGAAGTTCTGAGTTCTCTCTGGCTGCTTAAAATACGATAACGAGTGTTTTACGCAGGGGAATCGCTGGTGGGAGTTTGCAAAGCGCGTTGAAATCCTTTTAATGGGAAATCAATCCCTTACCATGAGGGTCCCCTGGACTTGGCCGATGACAGAGGCCGTCGATCACGTCATCAGTGATGTGACCCACCTGAATGAGACCATCAGGTGTTGGCCATGACCTCTGGCGTTGTGTCACCAAGAATTTGGGGGTGATAAGCTCAAGAGCTGATGCTGAACCTGAGCTGGGGCAATGCCCGGGATCAATCCAGGATGAGCAGGTGGAGAAGGACTTGGAGGAGCTGGTCCCTACTCTGCTTTATTTGGGCATCAACCCCAATGAAAGGGTCTGTCCCTAAGCTGCAGCCACCAAAAGTGGCCCAAACCTTTTTACCCCCACGTAGCTCATCTTTGGGCTGGTGTGTCAAAACCTGCAGCTTTCAGCCTGTCAGGGAAAGTGTCCAAACACCCCGAGAGATCTGCCCTTGCCTACAGACAGATTCCCTGCCTGGAGTTGTTTACCTGCTCCTTGTTTGCCTCTCTGATAAGAGCAGTAAAAATTTCCCCCTGCAAATCCCTCCTAAAGGACGAGGTGTGTCGGGAGGGGATCCCCGAGGCAACGACTCTTATCAGGCAGCTCAGCGTCCTCCCCGCATCAGCTGCCACATCCCAGGGTGCTCATTAATGGTTTATACATTCCCCCGTGCCGTGTTATTATCCCCCAGTGTGCTGTTGGCTTCAGACACCCAGGGACTTGAGAAATAAAACCCCTTTAAGATAAACAGAGCAAAGCCTCATCTGTCATCCCACTAATCGGCTCGTAATCAGGTCAGGATTCTTGGCCTCATAATGCCTTTATTTTTAATTTCCCCATACAGTTTTCGTATTAAATCCCACTAATTGAATGAATAGAATCATTCACCATCTCAGGGAACCTGCATGCAAGGAGATGCAGATGAACTCCTGCCCGTGGGTTTGTGTGTCCTTGCCACGATTTTACATCAGTCTTGGAGGAGGGATTACAGGGAATCATGGAATCATGGAACGGTTTGGTGGGAAGGGGCCTTAAAAATCACCTTGTTCCACCCCCTGCCATGGATGGGCAGGGACACCTCCCACTATTCCAGGTTGTTCCAACCTGGCCTTGGACACTTCCAGGGATACAGGGGCAGCCACAGCTTCTCTGGGCAAGCTGTGCCAGGCCCTGCCCACCCTCACAGCCAGGAATTCCTTCCCAATATCCACCCAAACCTCCTCTCTGTCAGTCTGAACCCACCCCCTCATCCTGTCCCTCCATCCCTTCTCCAAAGTCTCTCCCCACATCTCTTGTAGCCCCTTCAGGTCCTGGAAGGTCCCAATCAGGTCACCCAACAAAGCTTCTCCTCTCCAGGCTGAACAATCCCAAACTCTGCCAGCCTTTCTGATGGATCAGAGCTGCTCCATCCCCCTGCTCAGCTCCTCTGGAGTGGTTCCAGCAGCTCCACGTCCTCCCCAGGGCTGTTCCCCAGGGCTGGAGGGGGATCTGGGGGGGAGTCTCAGCTGAGGGGGACACTGTTGGAAAATCCATATCCCCACCTGATTTTCTTGCTGCATTAAACACTCGTAAGAATTCAAAGGAACTGTCCCAGATCTGTCCCAGAGGTTTTATTGGTGTGACACACAAAACTACTTTT